TACCACTGAGCTACATTCCCAACCCTTTGTTTTGGAAGATCTTTAAAGGCACAAGTTATTTATCATCTAGTCTTAGATTCGAATTTTAAAACCTTAAGAGAGATTTTGTGGAAAATTTTATTTAAAATTATTGTATATTCCAGAACATCCACCAGAATGAATTTGAATAGTGTGGTCCYAAGAGAGTGCCTTCGTCTCTTTGATGTTGTTATATAACAGAATATCTGAGACTGTGTAATGCATCAGAAATAAAAGTGTGTTTGTTTTAGGTTCTGGAGGCTGGGAAGTCAGAGCACAGTGCCAGCCTCTGGCAAAGGCCCTCGAGTGTCATCCCCTGGTGGAAGGTGCAAGCACCAGTGCAAGAGTGGGGCCCGCCCTCTTGTCAGCCCACTCCCACCACGCTAACCCACTCTGCTGTGATGGCATTAATCACTGCTTGAGGGGACCTCCTCTTCAAACACCTTGATGGCAGTTAAATTTTAACATGAATTTTAGAGGAGACTTAAATGTAGCAGAGAACTACATGAAAATGGTTTGTGCCAGTAAACTAAATTTTCACYTTATAGGAGAGAGGTGTCTTCCCAATAACTGGAAGCTTTGTATCTGTTATTTAAGTCACCTTCCCAAACCTATCCTGTCCCACCTAGAAACAATAAATAAAGATGTGCCTCTCTAGTGTTCATAATACTCAAAGAATTGGTACCATTTAAGATACTCTAATATTTTCAAATTGACATTCAATTTTTCAAGTTTTCGTTCTCCTATTTCCATCTGCCTTCTAGACATCCAGTTACCTGTGTTTGTCAGTGGCACTAGAGAGTCTACAGTTTCACAGCTAAAATCCTGTTCACCCTTACCTTCCTGCTTATTCTGTGTCCACTACCTAGTTCAGATATTGATACCTCTACCTCCCCCGCAGCCAGGTAAAAATTCCATTATTCTTCACTCCCTAACCCTGTATTCTTATGCAGTCACCATGTCTTATGTCTGTCTGACTCCAGCAATATCTTTCCTTTTGTCTCTACCMCATTTCACTACCACTGTCCACCCTCATAAGCCCTAGTCTGGACAATTGCCATAAAACCTTACCTGGTCTCATAGCTTCCATTCCCTCCTCCTTCCAAATCCACCCTACATTAATGATTTTTAGTTGGAAGTGCTTTAGAAAGACTGCCCTTTAGCTTTAGATCTGCTAAATTGAGGGTAGAGTTTGGGCACCTTGCTTAATAAAACGCTTCCCAGATGATTTTTGTGCATAACCCTGATAAAAACCAGTATCCCACAACTCCTATAATTATCTTTTTAAAAAACTCAAAATCATATCATTCTTTAGATTAAAAACATTCAATTCTTCCCCCTCTCCCTCTAATATAAAGTCTAGCTGTCTTAGCTTATGAGAGAACAAGCCTGGCTATCACCACCTTTCCAGGTGCATTTTCACTTACCCCCTTCAGGCCCTTTGAGTCTTATCAAGTGAGTTAGACCCAGTGTGCACTTTTGCATTTCTGTGCCTTTTTACATACCATTTCCATCTCGGGTCACTTAGCTTTTTTCTGCACCTGGAAAACTCCCCATTACTTCACCTCTGGGGACCTTCCCTGACTCCCCCTCATTTCTCCAGGCAACATGTGCCCGGCTCATTGGACATGAAAACGTTTCAACTATGTCTTCATGAAGATTTCTTTTCTTTTAAGCCTGAAATCGTTTTTGGTGTATTACGTCTTCTCAGAATGCATTGGARCTACTGGCTTTCCCTGTAAACTGTGGCTCTCTAGGATTCTGCCTGTGCTTGCTCTGCTGCACTCACTCTTGGGCATTGTGATTATTTGTTTGCAGATCTGTCTCCATAGCTGTATAGTTAAGTCACTGAGATAAAGGTCTTTCTTATCTTGCACAGGCTTTCAGGAAGTGTGTTTCTTATCCTTTGATTAAGAAGCAAGCACTTTACCAACCCAGCTATATCCCCAGCCCCTCTCCAAGCCTTTTAAAAGCCACCTCTTGTGAGTAGTGAGTTACTTACCACCTTCTACCTATTCACCCATCTGCTTTTATGCCTCATTTCTTAAAAAAACAAAAACAAAACAAAAAAAAAACATATCTTTTTAACAAAGAAGGAGCCTCCCAAACTATGGTAGCCTTTTTGTAGCGTGGAATTCATAGATGGAACTTGTTACTGTGTAAAAGTATCCTGTTAGATCTTCTCTAAAGGAGGACATGGACCAGCTAGTGATGTGTTCAGAGTATTCAGCTGGGTTTTAGAATTAAAGATCAAAAAATCCATCTGATTTTGCTAATTCTACTGTCTTATAAGTTTCCATAACTTATATTATTAATGGCTATTTCATTATATATTCTTTTTTTTTTTTTTTTTTTGGTATCAGGGATTGAACCCAGGGCACTTAACCACCGAGCCACATCCCCAGCCCTATTTTACATTTTATTTAGAGACAGGGTCTTTCCGAGTTGCCTGGCTAAGTTACTGAGGCTGGCTTTGAATTCACAATCCTTCTGCCTCAGCCTCCTGAGCTGCTTGGGATTACAGGCATACATGTGCCCAGCTCATTGGACATGAAGATGTTTTCAAATATGTCTTCATGAAGATTTTTTTCTTTTAAGCCTGAAATCCTTTTCAGTGTATTGCATCTTCTAAGAATGCATTGGAGCTGTTGGTTTTCCCTGTAAACTGTGGCTCTGGAGAAGATACTATACTAAAGACCTTGATGTTTGCAAAGGCCACTTCCATTTTGGTTTGCAAACACAAACTTATCTCTAGCAAAACATATTAGAAGTCAAGAAAGGTTATGCCGCTTGGAGGAAGTTCTGCTGAGTTTACAGAATACAATGTAATCATTACTGCCTAAGTATTGAATATTAGAGAAGAGGCTTCTCTGTGTGTTAAAATGATAGTTGAACATTATATTTGCTGAGATGGAGGTGATTATAAAGACTTGTAACATCAGATGAAACAGAATGCTACAAATCATAAAATTTTATCATGTGGATCCATGTTAAAGGAATTTTAAAAAATTCTATTGTCATATTTCTCTGAGGATATCAGAAAGGAAATTGAATACAGTAGTGTCCATAATATTGAAATGATCTGGGTAACTGTGTTAGTTCTGAAAGCAACATGAGAGTGTTCTTATCTTATTTTGGAAATGGATTGCTAATAATAATGTACTAAAGAAGCAAAGCCATTCTATTTCAAGACCAGAAAATTTCTAGTGCCCTTAAGCGTGAAAAGCTGTTCTGCTGAATTTGTTACTTCATAGGAATTTTCTCCTTGATTCAGCTGGACAATTGATTTAAAAGAACCAGAGGCAAAATTAGAAATTTAGAACTAAAAGTAAGCTAATCTTGTTTTCTCTTCCATCATTAGTCAACCTAAGACAATTGATGTGTTGATTATAACTCACAACATAAATAGGCTTGAAAGTTTGGGTATCTGTCTGAGTGACGGGTAGTCAAATAGTTGGGAAATGAACTCTAGCCAGGAAGGCATATTTCTGTTCTGAATGTCTTACTTAGGGACTTGTCACCCAAGGGAAGCAATGTAGAACAATAAGCATGGTACTGTGGCTTAAAAATCAAGAGACCTCAATCTGTTCTCTGCAAATTGCTTTCCATTTTGGATCCTCTCTGTTAAATGGGATGTCATTTTTTTAAAAGTCTCCCTACCCAGAAATGAAATTTTTTTTTAGAAAATACGAGTGCATGGTAGATGGAGAGAGAGAAACTCCTCTTTATACCCTGGGTTCCTTGGCTCTCCCTGAAGTATTTCCCTGAGTCTTTATTTGAATGTAGTAGAAAACATGCAAAACAATAGGTGACTTCCTTTATTTTATTTTATTTAAAATATTTATTTACTATGTATCTTTAGTTTAAGGTGGATACATTAGTTTGCTTTTATGTGGTGCTGAGGATTGAACCCAGTGCCCCATGCATGCTAGGCGAGTGCACTACCACTGATCCACCACCCCAGCCCCAGGTGACATCCTTTAACACTCACTACCCATTGCTAAGTATAGCCTCCAAGAGCAGTATACTAATCAGCACGTCTCTCAAAAGTAAGGAGAAATCAGCACCTACATAAGAGGACTTTTTGGCTTCACTTTCCTGCTTTTGAGGGACTAGTCTTTCTGAGAAGTACTTCTTTCAGTTTAGGAGTAAAACTGACAGATTTCCCAAGAAGAAAGTAGTTGTCATGTTCCAGATGCAAGACAGAAACCTTTTGTAGCTGTACCCCTAGAGAGGGAGAAGCATTGGAGTGGCCTGAAGTTTTCGATGACAGACTCTTTTTGATAAGTCTGGATTCATTCACCCTGCTCTTTCACAAGAGGGAGGAATTCGATTTGAGTATAGAAATCCAACCCCAGAAGACAAATTATAAAAATGCTTGCTTTTACATTTAAATTTGAGTAGGTTACAAAAGACAGCGTTCTAATTGAAGTATAGGTATAAAATTCGGATTATTAAGATTCTAGTACAGGATTAATAAAACTTTGCTTCTGAGTCTTATTTTTAAATTTTGTGTTTAACCACTTAATTGTTTACRTAATAGAGTTTGCAAACTAAGTGTGAGGGAGAACAGTGAGCTGTAAACAAATCTCAAGAAAAGTGCATGCCTCGATGTCAAGAACTTTGTGATACACTTGCCAAACACTTGGCAGTCCTCTACATAACATGTAGAGAAATTAATCAAAATTAAGTAGCAGACTTCACATCCTTGTGCACTAAAACCACACGCAAAAACCACTGAGGTTCCACTGGTTGTGGTGGTGGTATAATTTGTTGTTCCCCTGGTACTTTGTAGCCCTGCAGCCCTATGGCCTTGCAAGAGAGAACCCCTTCTTGATGGATTTATGTAGGCTGGAGGTCTCTCTTTCCATGGTGCCACTGTGCCTGTCAGCAGGGATAATTGGTTCCTTTGCCCTYGTCATTCTTGTTTCTCTAGTTGTGTTGGTAACTATTAACATAAACCTAAATGTGTTTTCTTTCAGCCCTCCTCGCCCTCTGACCAATATGAATGACACCATGGTTAGCCACATGTCCTCTGGAGTGCCCACCCCCACCAAGAGGTATGTGTGTCTTATGCCTAAGAGTTGGGAACAGTCCCCTGCCACTGATTTGCAACGGCCCCCTTGGAAACAAGGCATTCCACAGGGCAGAGAGGACAGCTTTCTATGTCCCCCTTTGAGTGTCTTTTAGTATTATTTCTGCTTTCATCTTCCTCTTTTTCCCCTAGTGACTCATACATACAGCAATTGAAGTAGTGCCTCAGGTGGAAACTTCATTGTGACAAGCAGCAAACACCGTGTCAGAGCAAATCAGGCACATTTGAGATCTTTTATTAACACTAAACGGTATTTTAATAATCACAAGTTTCAAAATTTTGCATTTGATATAAGTGTCAAAGATCATCCCTGCTTCTGATAGACTATGTAAATTGAACCACAACCTTATGAAATGTTTTCATAAGTCATTCTGTATATGATTCATAAACATTTAAGTTGAAAAGCCTAAATCCTTCTCTCTCAGTTATACAATTCTCTAAAGAATTCACTTTAGAGTCCTTCAAGGAACAAGAACTCTGTACTCTTTTCTCCCTTTTAAAATTTCCTCTTCTGGGCTGGGGATGTGGCTCAAGCGGCAGCGCGCTCGCCTGGCATGCGTGCGGCCCGGGTTCGATCCTCAGCACCACATACCAACAAAGATGTTGTGTCCGCCGAGAACTAAAAAATAAATATTAAAAAATTCTCTCTCTCTCTCTCTCTCTCTCTCTCTCCTCTCTCACTCTCTCTTTAAAAAAAAAATAAAATAAAATTTCCTCTTCTCTGAAATTCTCGTAGAACCTAAAAGAACTGTATAAAACCACATGCTTTCTACTTAAATTAAGCTTTTCCATGACCAGAGCAATGCAGAAACTCCCTCAAGGGCACACCATTAAAGAATTCTCTCTAATTGTTATCACTCAATAAGAAAAAGCCACAAAGACATCYCAGCCCACCTAGCATGTCTTTCTGGAAGAAAACAATTTGTGTCATATGCGCCATTTGCTTTGGATTAATTCAGCTGCAGAAATGTCACTAATTAATAATATTTTGACTTAATCTATAATACTTAAAGCCAGTGGTGTTTGTTCCTATTGGCTAAAACTTCTGGAGCAACATTTCTCAAACCCAACTGATGAGAAGACTTTCCCCAGGGCACTTGTTTAAAATATGCATTTCTGGGACTAYATCAGACCCCATAGATCAGAACCTCAAAGGACAGCATCCTGAGCAGTTTCGTTTTTAACAAACATTCCAGGTGTTTCTCTCCATCAAGCAGGTTAGGGAAATGACCTTAGAAGGAAGCAAGAGACCAATGTGTAGGCTACCCTGGAAGAGAGGATTTAGGGACTGAATAAATCAGAGGAACTTTGATATAGCTATATCTTTGTAGAGACTCAGGACCCTGACCAGGTAAGAGTCCCTGCCTACAGCCCCACTGGGACATTCCTAGCAGGGCAGCAGCCAGTCTCCCCTTCCGCAGAGCCACGTGGTGCTGGGCACTGGGTCCCAGACTTTGGAGCCAGACTGCCTGAGTTTGGATCCTAGCTCTCTCCTGACGTGAATATGTTTTTTAGCTTCAATTTTTCTAAATCTGTGACATAGGGGTACTCTTTATCTATAAGAGTAACAGGTAAATATCAGAACATCAATTCCGGGTAGTCACCAGTTGCTAGAAATTTTAGGTTAGGGCAGATGTTATCATTTGAACTTTTTTTCTTCAATATGTACTTCTCATGAAAAAGCCATTTTTAAAGGCAAGAAGATGCCACAGTGTGAATGYAGTTCCTGAACTGTGTACGTGACTGAGCAAAGAGACGATTATACTGTGATGGTATTAATGGCCTTCTGACTGGGAGTTGTGGTAGTGTTATCAGTTTATCTAAAAAATAAGTAGAATGATAAAAACTGCCATCTGCTGGCTTTTTWGATAGAGAGGAGCAGAGATATTAGAGAAACTGAGAAATGAGGYAAATGAGACTGTTTTAGTCAAAAACTAACCATCCGTGAACTCAGCCACTGATCTTCTTACCTGTGAAGTGGGAGAAATAGAATTTGGTTGAAAAGCAGGAATTAATCAGGGTTTCAGGAAAAAATGGCTTCTTTGAATTTTTGAGAATCTCTCCAAGTCAACATAGGAATTGTTGTTTCTCTTTTTTGTTGTTGTTGTTTGGTTTGGGTTTTTTAAGACAGAAAAGTGGAGTAGTTGAAAATTAACACATCATCTATGGAATGGCAGGGTCCTCAGTGTTGGCAGATTCCCAAGGCCCGTCTGGGCTTGGGCAAACTGCCAGTTTTCAGCTGTTTGGGGGTTTGGATTAGAGTTCACCTCCACTCAAGCATTTAAGGTAAACTTTCCACCAATTCAAACTCCAATTAGTACAAACAGAACACTTGAATATTTCCAAGCCCATACTTAAAAATCCAAGTTTGAAAAACTAAAGTTGATAGAAGCATAGAAACAGAGAGTTTCCTCCTCGTTGCACTGAGTAGAGTTTGGGGTCCTGAGCGAGAGCAGGTCACATCCATAGGGACTCCAGTAGTGCAGGGTGGAAGAAACAGATGTGGGAGAAATCACTCCATGGTGTTGCCATGTTCACTGCAGAGGCTGTGGGGTGGTGGGAGTGAAGGCAGGCTGTGGAGATTCTGGCCCAGGGGGCCAAGGAAGAGGGAGAGATAATGTTCTGGGTTTCTTCCTGGCTTGGGTTGAGGCACCTTTGGTCATGCACAGGAGGAAGATTTGGGCAGGAAGACAGCCAGGCTATGTGGAGCTAGCGATGCTGTGGAAGACCAGAGCACAAGTTCTTATCATTCTGATTCTTCCAGCTTCCTCACAGTCTCACCTCTCCTAATCTGGCAGAACCACTGAATTCCAGTTAAATAGAATTAAAAACTCATTTCCTCTGTCACATTAGTCATATTTCAAGTGTTCAGTAGCCACATGGGGCCAGTGGCAACTGTACTGGTTTTAGCACAAAATATGGAAACATGGGTAGCATGGAGATGCTGTTTCAAAGTTCTACAGAAAAGAAGACCACTGGAAAGTTTTAATCAGAATAATAACATCAGGGGATGGCATTTCAGAAAAGTCCCTCTGGTTGCAAAGAATTGAGTGAATTGGTGGTGACATGGGAGCATCCAGACTTAGATCTGACAAATGACCGATAGAACTTCCCCTACACAAACACTCACAGATTTTCTCCTACCCCCTCCAGCACACTGTCTTCCTCTCATATCCACATTCCCTGTCTCTGTTTCTCTAATACATCCCTGAACACACATTTGCTTTTTGCAGTTTCTCATATGCTACAGAGGCTTTTAATTAATTTCCTCTTAAGGAGCTGGCTCAGTGCCACTTCCAGGTGGTAGTGGTGTGCCATGGCCTGATGCATATGAAGAACATCTCTGTCACAGAGCTGAAATCCCTGTGGTGATCCCACTTAAACTTACTATGTTCAACCGGAGACATTTTTYACTTCTTTTAGTATCAAACCATTAAAATATTGCCGCTTGCTCTAGCTAGTGAAGCAAACACGCAATGCAAATCAGCCCAGTGGTGCAGTTCTTTCTTTCTCATGGGTCCCATGTTCCCTGTCCCCACATTTCTTTGCAACCCGAGGGACTTTTCTGAAATGCAAGTTTGGTGATATTCTTAATTGAATCTTCTTGGTGGCTCTTCTTTTMTGTAGCACTTTGTCATGGCATCTCCATGCTACCCATGTTTCTCCATATTTTATGCATTCCTAGTCCAGCAGACACTAGCCATACGTGGCTGTTGAGCACTTGAAATGTGACCAGTGTGATGGAGGAAATGTATTTAATTTTATTTATTTATTTATAATTTTTTAGTTGTTGATGGACCTTTATTTTTTATTTATTTGTATGCRGTGCTGAGAATCAAACCCTGTGCCTCACACATGCTAGGCAAATGCTCTGCCACTGAWCCACAACCCCAGCCCCTTAATTTTGTTTAATTGGAATTAAGTGGAATTTAAGCAGCTGCATGTGGCTGGTGGCAATGCAGAAAAACGGGATGTGGAGGGAGAAAGAATCAGATATTTTTTCTTTTATTATGATTTTTACTTAATAAAGGTTTTTGATGCATTTAGTATTGGAAAAGAGGTAATCTGACAAATTCAGCTAACATCATCACTTCAGCATTCCATGGGTAAAAATGAACAGTGTTGAACAAGTCTGAGCTCCAACAAYCACTCCCTCCTCTCTATAATCTGGTGGAACCAGAGAATTGTGCACATAGTTGAGCTTATTTCTTTTACGGTTCTCACTGGACACAGCATTTTTTTCTCTTGAGCTTGTAATACAGCAAAGGGCCCAGAGGCAGTGAGCTGTTAGTAGGATGTCTTTCCCCCACTCCTTTGTCCTCTCTCTAGGTTGCGGTCCTTTGAGGACAGATAATCTAGAAAAGGAACAGCCTTGCATCTTGTAAATTCATCTCTCCACACTAATGCCTTGATATTTTGTTCATTTTAGTGACAGAGAAGGAAAGTAACTGATTTGCTCCCAGAATTATTTATGGTGTGCTGCATGATGACATGTAGAGAAGAATGACATTTTTGCCTTATAGATCTGAGAGTCTCAGACATTGGAAGCCAGTTACTATGCTTACTGCACATTAATAATTGTGCTTATGCATATTCCTATATTGATTTAACAGGAYGTAGCTTGGCACAGTGATCCAAAGCTGTCATCTTCTACAAGAACTCCTACCCTGCGCATCCCTACCCTATACTCACTTCTAGAAGGGCTCTTTTGTTGACGTCAGTGAGTCATGGGTATTGAGATTTTAACTAGAATTTTTCTGGATGCCTTTCCATTCCTTTGGTGAACCCCACCACAAGTTTCTCCCAGTGTAACAACAGTACTGACATTTCTCAAAAATACCAGGGCTTTTCCAGAGCCAAAGAATTATCTTGTGATTTACTGTTGGATTCAGTGGGCTTTCCACTTTGATCATGGAGGACTCTGAAAGGCTCTGAGTTCATCATATACCATTTCTGACAGACTTC